GGTGTCCAAAAACTCATAAATCCTAACTTTCGGACTGACTAGACCAAGCCATCTGAAAGATCTTGCCGGTAAGACATCTGCATCTGTTCTGTTGGGGCGCCCCCTCTGAGAGTCCTAAGAGGTGCTGGATGCAGAGATAGCCTGCGGACTCGACTCCTTTCTGTGACGACGTGTTGGAGTCTTAGGTCTGTTCCTGTTTCATTTTTGCGCGTTTCGGCCGATTGTCGTTTGTCTGTCTGATAACCATGGGTCAGTCTGCCTCTGCTTCTGTGTCGCCTTTGCAATGTATTCTTGATCATTTCCAGGAATTCCGAAGGTGAGCTGCTGACTACGGAGACTTTGTCTCCCCGGGGACTCTCCGCACTTTGTGCAAACTGGAGTGGCCCTGCTTATCAGCGTCCATATGGCCTCCGGAGGGCTCTTTTAATATCTTTCTTGCTTATCAGGTCTGCAGGGTCATATTTGGAAAGTCAGGACATCCTGATCAAGTCCCATATATCCAAGAGTGGATAGATTTATTACAGGACACTCCAAAGTGGATGAAGGACTGTCGCCGTGCCTGGGCATCACGCCAACGCGCCTCTGGTACGGTGGCACTGGCCGCCGCTCCAGAAAAGGATCCTTAGAGTTCTAAAAGGCCACCTGTGCTGCCCTGACATCTGAATCCCTGACTCCCCTCCTTACCCTAAGCTGTCCCGTCCCTCCCTTAACCTTTTAGCTAGCCCCGACTCCTCCACTCCTCTGAGTCTGCCGCATACCCATAGCGCACTGCCCTTTTCTCAGCCCCCGCCATCTGACCCTGATCCTTTTCCCACCTCAGCACCAGCCTCAGTACTTCCTCTCCGTGAACAATTGGGTGGAGATGACCGCCCTTTCATGGTTTATGTCCCCTTCTCGACTAGTGATTTATATAACTGGAAAAACCAGAACCCCTCTTTCTCTCAGAATCCTCAAGGGCTTATATCTCTTCTGGAATCTGTTTTCTTCACCCATCAGCCCACTTGGGATGATTGCCAACAGTTTTTACAGACCCTCTTCACATCTGAAGAGCGGGAGCGAATCCAGGGTGTGGACAAAAATTAATTTTGGGCCCAGATGGCCAACCAGCTTCAGATCCTGTACGACTGGAGGATTCCTTCCCTTTGACTCGTCCTAACTGGGATTCTAATTCCCATAGAGGTAAGGAGGCTCTCAATCAGTATCAGCTTCATTTAGGGGCAATCAGGGCAGCGGCTAGAAAGTCTACTAATTTGTCTAAAGTTACAGAGGTCAGTCAGGGACCTGATGAGTCTCCGGTGGCATTCTTGGAGCGCCTCCAAGAGGCCTATCGGATATATACACCGATAGATCCGAAAGCCCCTGAGAACCACCACGCTATGAATATTGCCTTTGTATCTCAGTCAGCCCCAGACATTAGAAAGAAATTGCAGAAGATTGAAGGATTTGAAGGAAAAGCACTGACAGAGCTGGTGTAGATAGCTCAGCGAGTTTTTAATAACAGGGAAGACCCTAGGGAGCTAAATAAAAGGATGGCAAAGGTTCTGATTGCCGTGGGGGAAAAGGACTCTAAAGCTAAGGAAAAGGGTCCAAAGAAGAAAGATAAAAGAAAGTCGCCTCTTAAAGAGAACCAGTGTGCCTATTACAAGGAGAAAGGGCATTAAAAACATAATGTGAAAAAAAAAAAAAGAAAAGAAAAGCCTGCTCAGGTCTTGACGCAGGAAAAGGTAGTCTGAAGAGGCTGGGGCTCTGAATCAGGCCCCCAGGAGCCCATGGTCACCTTAGAGGTAGGGAGCCAATCTATTGACTTTCTGATAGACACTAGAGCTACTTACTCTGTCCTGCAACAACCTACAGGACCCCTATCAGAAAAAAGGACACATATACAAGGAGCCACTAAAAAGACTAAGTCATACCCTTAGACCCAGGCCCATATAGGAAACCTGGGAACAAAACAGATGACTCACTCTTTCCTAGTTATGCCAGAAAGCCCGTACCCATTGATTGGTCGTGACTTACTCCATAAATTACAAGAGCAAATCTCCTTCCAAGAAAACTCTATAGAGATTTCACTTGGGGAAGAAAATCCTTTACCTTCTGCCATTCTATCCACCTGCCCTTT